TATTTTTCATATTTATTAGTTTTTAAATATAACTTATTTTTATTCATTTATTATTTTAAGCTTTAAATATTATACTTATTTTTTATTATATTCAGTTTGTTATTTAAAATCTTACAAATATAATTATAGATATAAAAATAAATATTATTTATAATTAAAAAACCTTATGTTGAATTAATATATTTTCTCGTTAAAGTTCTGTTATATATTATCGATGTCTTTTTTTTCCAATGACAAACATACAAATTTATGCCTCAAGATGAAAGTATTAATACAACGGGTAATCAAATAATTATAAAACACTTAAGAGATCAAACAAAGACATCCCAAGAGCCACGAGAAAGAGTAAACTCTTCCAGGGTCGGATCCAGAAATTTTATCGAGTGTGGGCCTAAAAGTAATTTTCATTTTTTATAATTGATTTATAAAAAAAAGTAGATTATGATTTTCCAACTCATAAATATAATATTAAGTTCTTATACTCAAAATCTTCTACAAACTAAAACTATTGTCGAATTTAAGTGTGTTATAGCATGAACCTTAGAGTATAGTATAAAGATAATAATAAATTAGAATCATAATGTTGTTACTATATTTACAAAAAGAGATTGAACCGAATTTGTTGGAGTTGAAATCAATTAGTTGATCATTTTGGTTTGAAGCGGTAAAAAAAAGGTCAAAACTGGCCAATTGGATGGATCAGATTTTTTTTCTTTTAAAAATAAGTTTTGATAATTTAAATATATTTTTCAAATAAATAAAAATAATTATGTAAATATTGAATATCTATAAATTATTATATTGATTAGTTTTGACATTTAAGTATTTTAAATTATCTAAATATTTACATAACATTAAATATTTAGACATTCTAAATATCTATAATAATTATAAATATTGATAAATTAAGTACCAATTTAAGTATTGACCAATGAACTTGTAACTTGATAAAGTTTGGTTATTAATTCATAAACAAATAAACATATAAAAAAATAAAAGTAATTTTGAAGTGAATAAAAAATAAAACCAAATGCACCTAGATGGTTGGAAACAAGTAAAAGAGATATCATCACCTTTTATTTATATTCGTTTTCCTTGTATAGTTTTGTTTTCTTAGGACTAATGCATTAAAATTATTTGATTTTACATCCCATGTATATTTTTTACCCAAAATTTGAGTGAGGGCCTTGGGCCCCACTGGACCCAATATGAATTCTCCCCTGACTCTTCCCCTCAAAGACCAACAAGGTCAAACCAGTACAAAACCAACCTAAGACACTAAAAATAGTTAAACATTACAAGCCACATAAAGAGACAAAACTTGCTCCAGAAGAGGAGCATAAGAACAACATATAAGAGCATTTTTCTTCAAGGCCTTCACAGCAACAACATTGTTCAGGTAACATATACATGATTTCCACTTGAGTTCTTTGATCTTCATAAAGCTCCATTTGGCTGCTAACAATGTTGCATCAGTTTCACAGTTTGTGTCTGCTATGTGTCCTTCCAATGCCACTTAATGTCTTTATTCTAAACAGCTACACAATCCACTGCAATGTCTCCTTCATATAAATGAGCATTGATGGCCACCCAAGGCCTACCTACTCTCTTTGAACCTTCATCTGAATAGAGCTCTCTTCTAGTGTAGCTTCTTTGATTCCCATTCCAACCATTCTAATTTGGCTCCTTCAACTAATTCTTCCTCATGAATCCAATCCCCTTTAAAAACCCATTTGTTTCTAGCCTCCAAAGATTCCACATCAGACATGCATATAAGTTGAGCTTGTCCTTCAAATCAGCAGACATCCTTTTTGAGCAAGTTTCCATCCACCACATCTGAAAATCCATTTGCTTGTGTTGCATTAAGTTCCAATCTACCCCACTCTACTTCCAACAGAGTTTGGACTTTAAACAAAAGAACAATAGATGGTTCAAATCCTCAGCTTCCTCACCACAAACCTGATAAGTTTTATCTACCTCTATTCACTTTATGCTCAAATTCCCATTAACCCCAATTAAACCATAGCAGCATCTCCAGATGAAATGTTTCACCTTAGGTTTAATGTGCAGATGCTAGGTTGAAATCCACATATTCTTCCACCAGACCCTAGTCTCACTAGAAGAAGCTTGAACAATGAGTTTGCCTTTAGCCTCTAAGATGATTTGATAGACTGCCTTTGTTGTAAACACCCCCTTCTTACTCCAGTGCCAAATCAGCCTATCTTTCTTTCTTTGATTGGACAGGGAAATTTTTAGAATTGAAGTAGCATCAAGAGGATCAAAAGTTTGAAGAATTAGTTCTCTATCCCACTCTCTGCCCCCACCCTTAATCAAATCACTCATCTTCTTAATTCTACTTCAATCCCCCGAGAAACAACATCTTGGTTTGAAAGAAAAGTTGTTAGGGATCCAAGAGGAATCCCAAACATTGATGAATTCCCATCCCCCACTTCAAACCTAGCACCAAGACTAAGAGAGCACCTAGCACTGAGGCAACTTTCCCAGAGTCAAGAATCACTATTCTTTGTTTTCACATCCATCAAGTTGCTATTCCTAAAATATTTTCCCTTTAAAACTCTACTGACTAACAACTTTGGCAAGGTTATGATTCTTCACACTTGTTTGACCAGGAAAGATTCATTAAAAACCCCAAGGTCTCTAAAGCCCAAGCCCCCCCTCCTCTTTAGAATTGTCAACCTTCCCCACTCAACCCAGTGCACCCTAATCCCACCCTTATCATTTTTTCGCCACCAAAAATTGGCAATATCTCTGGAAATTTGGTTGATTATGGTGATGGGAACTCTAAAACAAGACATCACATATGTAGGTAGAGCACTCAACACATATATGATTAATATCTCTCTTCCAGATTCACTCAGAAATTTGTTTTTCCAACTCATGATCTTATTTTTCACACAATCACTCACAAACTAAAAAGTATCTCTCTTAAATCTACCTATTCCTAAAGGTAAACCCAAATATATAAAAAATTTGACTCTGTTGATTCCATAAAGGGTTCTACAGATTTGTAACTAAGTTCCTTCAGAAGTATTTTTAGAGAACAAATTTGAGGATTTGTCAAAATTTACTACATGACCATACATAGCAAGAATATCACATATTAGGAGAGCATGATGAACATCAGCCTTGCTGAAGAGAATAGAATCATCAGTAAAAAATAAGTGACTCACATTAGGTGCATGCTTGCCTATCCTAATACCATGAAACAAACCAGAGAGACATGCTTGATTTACAAGATTAGAAAGAGCTTCAGAAACCAAGATAAAAAGATTGGGAGAAGGGGGATCGCCTTGTCTCGAAGCCCTAGTAGGTTGCAGATAACCCAGAACAGAACCATTCAAGTTGAAAGAGTAAGAGGCAATACACACACAAGCAAGGATCTAAGATAAAAAAAGATCTCACAAAAACCCAATTTTCGACAAACCTTTGCAATAAAAGCCCATTCCACTCTATCATAAGCCTTAGCCATGTCTAGCTTCATGGCCATGAAGTTCTATTTACCTTTCACTGTTAAGATAATGCACACATTCATTTGCAATTATCACATTGTCTAAAATCTGCCTTCCTGGGACAAAAGCTGGTTGAGAGCTAGAAATGCAACTAGACAAAACTTTTTTCAACCTATTAGCAATTATTTTGGAAATCAGCTTATAAGTCACAGAGAAAAGTCTAATAGGCCTAAAATCAATCACTCTAGAAGGATTTTTCTTTTTAGGGATCAAAGTTATAACAGCATGGTTCAACCCTTTAGGCATTCTACCAGTATTGAAAAAGTTATGCACTGCAAGGCACATATGATATTTGACAGTGGACCAGGATTTTTTAAAAAAACAAGCAGTAAAACCATCCTGATCACCAGGAGCTTTGTCCTAGTCCAAATCAAAAAGAGCACTTTCTATTTCCTCATCTTCCACTTTCCTAACAAGACTTCTATTCATATCACTAGTGATGGTTCTAGGAATTCCTTCTAAGCTGCAATTCTTATCAAGAGCATTAGAGGATTGAAACAACCTATTAAAATACTTAAGAAGTTCAGCTAAAGTTTCCTCTTTGTTTTGACATCTAATGTCATCAGCTTTAACAATATTATCCAGACAATTAATCCTCCTTCTATGATTGACACTAGCATGAAAAAACTTGGCATTCTTATCCCTTCCTTGAGCCAGAGAACCCTAGCCTTCTGTTTCCAAAATTTCTCTCACCCTCGTTGGCTAACTGGATTTATGTTTTTCATTTAATCCACTCACTCCAATCTCTAGCCTTCTGTTTCCAAAATCTCGACGTCAAGTTTACACTATTTGATGCACGGAAGTCGGTGAATGTTGCCCCTCTAAGTAAGAGGTAAGGAGGTTGATTCCCCATGCCAGAAAATTTTTAAATTATATTTTTCATGATAATTTGATAATATCGCAATACATTATAATATCCAATAAAATTTAATTAAAATTTTCATGGTAATTAGGTATTACAACACCAAGTCGTTTAAATCCCATTAAGTGGGATCGGTAGTATGAATCACACGTTGCCGTCGTGCTCGATAAAATAACATATCCTCATTCAAATTTAAATATTTTAAATTATTTCTTTTCAAGGTTTATTAGATCTACCTCTGCTTTTTTTAACTTGCGTTCGTAATTCTAATGTTTCTACCATTCTCACCGGGGCCTCGAAGTCTCTCTCCTACGTACATGCCCAAACATCTTAATCGTGTTTCTCTCATTTTCTCTCTTGGACACTACCTCAACTTTATTTCTAATACTTTCATTTCTAATGTTATCTAACCTAGTATGCCCACACATCCATCTCAACATTCTAATCTCTGTCACTCGCATTTTGTGATCATTTTCATATTTAGTAGCCAAACACTCAAATCTGTAAAGCATCGTCAATCAAATTGTTGATCGATATAACTTGTCAAGTATCGACGCCGCGCTCTTCCACTTGTTCCATCTCGATTGAATTCTATATGATTAGATAATATCGCGATAAATTAAATTGATCGGGAGATTATCACAATATATGATAATGATAAAAAAAAAAATCAATAAAAAACAGATGCCGTCAAGAAAAAGCTAACGGTGTTAGTAAAACTGGTGGAGAATTTGCAACAAATGTTAAATACAATTGGATNAAAAAGAAGAAACCAGAAGTTACATAAAGCAGTAGCTGAGAGAATTCTGTGCTGTGACAAGGTATTGATATCTATAAGCTCCTACAAGAATTTATCAGGCATGAAAAGTCCATCCATAAATGGACACAACCTAAAACAACCTTTGGGGAAAGAGTAGATCAAGCTATAACACACCACCCTTTCAGGACAAAAGGGACGTCGATGCTCTAAACTGGTCACCCAATGACTGCTTACATTTGTACTTCGAATTTATACTTCCATAAAAGAGGGAAATTCTACTTCCTGGATTCAGCTTCCATTCTCTCAATCAGTTTTATAAAATTATGAACCATGGTTTTGCCCTCGGTGGTGATGATACTTTCTGGGTGGAACTGAACGCCCTGCATTTCCCCAGAAATAAGATTTGAAATTAAGTGGAAACTCAATATAACAAATATCTGTCCATCCAAATGCGAGGTGAGTGAGGGAATGCCATCAAATTTCAGTGTGCAAACTAAATTCTTTACCTGTACATGTCGATATACTTTGTGACGAGCAGCCATTATCAACCCGTCTTCTGTCCACGCGGTTATCTCAAGGGCATCACTTGGAAAACTTCCCTTTTCTATCACAAGGCTATGGTATCTACCGGCAGTAAAAGGGCTGAAAACCAGAAAAACGATTAAAAGATGCACCATAGAATCAAATGTGTCGTTGACTAACAGTCACATGGAACCCAAAAACAAATGGCCATCATGCAAAACTATGATATCAGATGGTATGAGATTTCATTGCACGCAATAAAAACTGAGATGTCCTCCTTCATTGACCATAGCATTAGCATTACCGAACATGATCATCTAAAAATGGACAAATTGATAATTTAAGCAACGACAATTGGCAAAAATACCAGATAGCCCAAATACCAACAAAGAGAGAAATTTATTGAAACCAGAATAATTGAATATAAGGGTCAGTAAACAAATTATAATTGTATAAAATATTGAGAGAGAGAGAGAGAGAGAGAGATTCGCAAGAGAGATGGACACAGCAGATGAACATAACCAGGATTGATAACAAATGGAAACAAATAATCTTACCTTTCAAATATATGGTAACAAATAAAATACCATCTGTGTTGGGTCTTAACTTGTAATTTAAAATAATTCCGCATGGTACATGAAGAATTGATAAAATCCGCTTCGGATAAAGAAGTCCGTCACTAGATCTGGATTATATCGGTAAAATCGAACCTTGATGTAATAAATACAGTGCCTTTATATTTATGAGTGAAAATGTCAGCAGGATCATACCATTGAATGCTGATGTATATACATACAAATAAGAATGGAGAAGGTAGCATCAATTATTCTGAACCATATTGAATCATGTATGTACTTACGAATATCAGCATTAAATTTTAATCATTTATAATATCAGGAGACCAATGTCAAGTTATAAATTATAGACGAACATACACAGTTCAAGCATCCAATTAAACTGTTACGTTTTCTTCAAGTTACTTCAATAACTACTTTGTTAGATATGCAACCCACATTTATAGAAAATGAGGTATAAATGAAGGTTTAGAAAAGGACACGAATATGGATAACTTCTAGATTTATATAAGAAACCCCTTCAACCTAGACTGTAGACAATAATATATAAACATCACTGCTTAAATAATTATGCCACAATGCACATCTGTGAAGATAACCAATTGCCTTTTTTCCAATAACAATTTGTTGCAAATGAAAAAGAACTTACTTTGATAAGCCGGCGAACAAGCCATCTTCCCCACCTTCATTGTAATAGACAGGAGAACTTTTTCCATGCACAACTCCATAAGGAGATCGCACAATTTTCCCTTTAAACCAAATACCAATATTCAGCACACAAGACAAACAAAAAAAAAAGAATATAAATAGTTGCAGCACAACGTAAAAACACATGAGAAAGGTGGGTATCCAGCAAACCTGATTGTATGTGTCAAACTTTACGCATCTACCAAAGTATTAAAAGCAAATGTTAATTTTCATTGGAGGTTTTAGGTAAAATGAATCTATTGGTGCATTTCAGTTACAGCATAATCCTCATTCTTAGATGTTTCTTTGTGCGACTCCAGAAGTTTGATAGCAATGACTTCATTACTTCNTAAGAGTAAATCAGGATCTCATATTACAGGAAGCGGCAACTCACTCATAGACATAAAATAATCATGTCTCCCAAAGACACAAGTACCAGATATCATTCCAAACAGACCACTTTGTTATCAAACAATAGGCTAAGCTTGCATTTCTGTGTCTTGCATTTAATTATTTTAAACCACAAGCATCCCCCTCAGAGATAGTTATTGAAAAGAATAAACAAGAATGATTGAGATAGAAACAACAATCAATAAGTTATCAATGTTATAGACAGCAGCTAGCAAGCATCGCCCTCAGAGATAGTTATTGATAAGAATAAACAAGAATAATTGAGATAGAAACAACAACCAATAAGTTATCAATGTTATAGACAGCAACTAGCATTCGTTACCTAACGCCAGACTGCCTAGGTGACAAAAGGTCAATGACCTAGCCATGCAAGGTAACAAGTACTACTAAAAATGCCATTATCATGATCTCCTAAACATCAACTTGAAGAAAATAAGGTTATCAAACAATATACTACATCAAACATCAAATTAATATNAAAAAAAAAAAAAAAACAGTCAAACGGTAACTAATGTCAAAACACACAGCATCACATTTAAATCCAATCCAAAGACGTTTAAGGCCATTTACCTCTGGTGAAGTGGATAAGGAACCCAGTTGAATTTCTAATACGTGTGATAATATGTTTGACACAAATTCCACCTGGATGGTTAGAATAATTTATTCACTGAGCCCCTCAAATAAAGTTACAACCAGATTGTCACTGTTCCCACAAGGTATACCCTTCCAGGAAGAAGTCCAATAAGACTTATGCCAACCAAATCATCCAAATGTTGACAGTTTCAAGTTAGAACCAACAATAAAAGAATTCCAAGAAAGGCCAAGTGCGATTACGGTCTCTCCTAATGAATGTTCGCCCAAAAACTACTTCTCATTCCAGGTTCATTTCCTGTGACTAAATTATCTCTTTGAAAATGGAACACAAATTGGTGGTGAATTACTTATGAAAGACAGAAGCATAGTGGGAATCTTAAACTCATCCACTAATGTCCATTTAGTGTATGCATATTCATTTATAAGACCGCTTACACATTTGACGAATGCATTGCTAGAGTATCGCCATAGCAATCACGCTATGCATAGATCATACTTATTGATAATCCAGTCTATATGGTATAATCATATTTCTTCTGTATCATTTTATATCCCATCTAACTAGTAAATTTATCCTTCTGCAAACCATGATTAACTTCTGTGGCCAATCATTTCGATCCCATCATGATCACCTACATTCAATCCTACATCAATCAAACCACAGACTATTGCAATAGTAAATTTTTCCTATAATAGTCAGAATAAACTAATTAGTGTCCATAGGATTACATGTCTTCTTTTCATCCTTCCATGTATGCCAGAAGCTCATCCACAAACGCTTTAATGACCTTTGCGTACTCAGACATGTTTGAAAATACCCACAAGTAGATGTTTGGCTCAAAAAGTTATTGTATTTTAAGTGGAGTGGATGCACAAATCCACCAACTACACTATACAAAACCACAAGAAAAAAGATCCAATTCTTCCTACCTTTTTCATAAGTATCAACATACTAGCAAACTTTTGTTAACTGTAGAGCCTAAACAAATTTGATGGTCATTAGACAGTACAAGTGAGATCCATAGACTGATGCAGTGATTTGAAGTATGACAACAGGAAGTATAACAGTCCAATTTTGTATAAGATTTATCTTACTTCCGAAGTTTTTATCCCACGTATTGCTGCAGCATACATGTTCTAAACTAGTAGAAGCTTAGGCAGACATTACATTTTATCTGCCTCAATGTAAGAAAAGACATAGTATCCTACATAGATAAAAGCATTACCTCCAAAAGCTTCCCCAATGCATTGCAACCCCATGCACACACCAAATAGTGGAACAGTAGGTCCAAGTTCCTGAACTGTCTGTAGGGATATTCCAGAATCTTGAGGTGTACCTGAACATAGGAACAAAAAATTATTGAAATTCAAACTATATGTACACAAAATCAACTAAGGCGAAAAAATAAATAGGGCAAACATCTTACCAGGTCCAGGTGATATTAGTATACCCCTTGGGTTTTTCCTACAAGAACCAATGGTAATTAACTAGCATGGTCCACCAATAATTTACACTTCATCTACACTTTGAAATTGAAAAGGAAAAATAAAAATAAAAAGACAAATACTTTTTCATGGTAAGAACAAATTTTCCAAATTTTCTTCTCCAATCAAACACCCAGTACACACCTATTACAAACACGCGTGTGTGTGTGTGGATCAAAGGCTTCCCAGTACCAGTTTCAATGATCACTGAATATACAACCACACAATTAAGCAATGTAAATGCTGCTTGGAATTTCTAAAAGATAACAAATACTAAGCCCATGTAAACAACAGTAAGCACAATGCAAAATACACCACAAACTGGCAACCCAGCTTTCGATTACCAACAACCTTAACATCAATATTGTCATTATGCCCATAAATTGAAGATGTATTTAAAAAGAAAAGATAAAAATCCTTACCGTTTTAGATCATCAACAGTGAGCTCGTCATTTCGGTACACCACGAATTCACAACCCACCTCTCCCATGTACTGTTATAAATCAAAAACGTTTAAAAAAAAAGGAAAAGGATAAAGGAAAAGACTTAATATTATATTTTAAAAAGTAAAGAAAAAAATCAAACTGACTTGACATAGATTATAAGTGAAGCTATCGTAATTATCAATGACTATTATTGGATCGGTGCTCCTCCTAGAAGACGACGATTTAATGGAGGACACGGAGGTACTACCAGAAATTGCCATGGGCATTCTGGGAGGAGCAGAACAGGAAAGCAGGTGGTTGTGTGTGGATGGAAACAATCTGGCGGATTGGGATTTGATAGGTTGTGCCATTTGCAGAGATGGAACGTGAGAGGATGGTTTGCCGATAGAGGCGGAAGGCAGACCGAGGGTGGTCATGGCGGCAGCGGCGGTGGTGCGGGGACTGCAGATGTAGTGATCTGGTCGAGGGTTTGGAATTTTGGATTGAGTCAATTACGCGGTTTTTGGTATTGTTAATTTTATAAAAAAAAAATTGGAGTTTATTGCACCAAATCTTTTTATATTATATGAAATCTGTGCGTTTTTCTATGATATTTTAAAAATTGCATCAAACCCTCTTGGATATTTTAAAAATTGCATCAAAGCCTCTTGGATTTAATATTTGCATGCATACTCGTCATTTGATGTTAATGCCGTTACTTTAGCGCTGATTATCATTATGCCCTTATTGTCAAATATGTTGACTTACCTATGATATTTTAAAAATTGCATCAAACCCTCTTGGATATTTTAAAAATTGCATCAAAGCCTCTTAGATTTAATATTTGCATGCATACTCGTCATTTGATGTTAACGCCGTTACTTTAGCGCTGATTACCATTATGCCCTTATTGTCAAATATGTTGACTTAAAAATAAAGTATCAATAGTGGAAATGCTTGGATTTAATATTTGCATGCATACTCGTCATTTGATGTTAACGCCGTTACTTTAGCGCTGACTACCATTACGCTCTTATTGTCAAATATGTTGACTTAAAAATAAAGTATCAATAGTGAGAATTGAACTCATGACCTTTTTGGGTTGAAAAAGTGAACTCTCCACCAACTGTGCTACTATTCATTTTGTTATAAATGTGATTTTACATATATATATAATGTCTGACGAAAATAATATAATAAATAAATACATTCTAAATTATAAATAATATAATGATTGCATAAACATTATTCTATATTATAAACAATAAAACGATTCATTAAATATATATCAAATTAAAAATAATAAATGAGTGAATAAATTGATTCGACATTATAAATAATATAATAATTTAGTATGTAGATTTTGTAATAGTTGAATAAATAGATTCAAAATTATAAATAATATAAAAATTAAGTAAATATAATCTAAATTATAAGTAATATATAATTAAGTAAATAGATCATATAAGATAAATAATATAATGATAATTAAAAATTATAAATAATATAATAATTCAGTATATATATTTTATAATAATGGAGTAAATATATTCTATATTATAAAAAATATAATAATGGAATAAATTATATTTTATTCTAATTTAATTTTTATTTTATTTTATCTTAATTATATTTCCTTATAGTTACTTCTTTTATTATTATTTTATTTTTTGTTTTGATTAAGTTTTTCTCTGTGTTATTGTTCTAAATAAAAGTGGTGCAGTGGTTGGAAGCTTTGCTAAGGAGCTTTTGGCCCAGGTTCGAATCCTAGGAGCAGCAAAGATTTTTTGCCAATAATGGCTAGAAAAGCAAAGGGAAAAATAGTAAATTTTAATTTTAAAATAAAAAAAATATGAAAAAAGTGAATAATTATCGCATAAGAGCATGTGTACTGCACGCGCCGTCAAGTTGGACGGAGTGACGCAATTTTTAAAATATCAGGGGAAAACGTGCAGATTTCGTATAATACAGGGGGTTATATATATTTTACCCAAAAAATTTTATAGTGGTGGATTTTTGAATTTATATTAAAATAATATTTAATATAAAATAACTAAGTTTGATTTGATATATAATTAGGAGAAAAATGACGTGAAGTGACGGTTGGTTAAAGTTATGTGATTAGATGAGCACTGAATTAAATTGATGTAATGTATAAAAAGTTGATAATATATGTTTAATTAAAGTTGAGTTAGATTTGAGTTAAAAAGAGTGATTGGTTAGAAATGATTGAATCTTTTTTGATAAATTTGTATCCAAACATCCCCAATAGATCATGGATTCCACTTTAATTTCTTAAAATGATAATATCAATTTATATTTTATATAAAGAGTTTTACCAATCTATTTATATCTATGTAAAAAGATTTGTATTTACTCGAAATAGCAACTAAAATTCTGTCTAAAAAAAATATGTTTACCTTTATTAGTAATTTTGTTAAATATTTTTGAAAAATGGCGGCCAATTATTTGAAATTCAATTAAAAAAGATCAATGTCATCAATTTACAGAATCATTATGGTCAAATATAGCGGTTGCTACTAGGGGTGGTATCGGTTCGTTAACCAATACCGTACCGATAATGTCGGTAACCTCAGAATGTAAAACCGATACCGAACCGATTAAAGTCGGTTACCGAATTTTCGGTAACCGAAAACTCGGTTCGAATTCAGTTCGGTATCGGTTTTATACCAAAAAAACGGACCGATTTTGAGCACAAAAGAAAAAATTGCTAGTGTTTACTATTCTCATCATTTTTGTGATTTTTTTCAATTCTTACCAATTAAATACACACAAAAGACTTACAAATCCATTGAAGGATTAAAAAGCTTAAATTTAATGTATAGAAGTTATTTTATATATTATTAGATTATGGTTTTTGTGGTAAACGCAACTAATAAAACAATCTATTGCTAACACGCAAGAAATAAAATTTGTGATACAACTTCAACTAATTTATCTAGTAACGGTGGTACGAGAATAGACTACAGTAACGGTAGCATGCATTTTCTTTAGAAGAAGTGAGACTGGTAAACCAACAATGTTCTGATTAAAAGGTGAATGAGGCGATGAGTAATGGTATTTTTCTCGTCATTTTGAGATTTAGGTAGGATTGAGACCTTATTTCAATTTTTGGACACTAAACAACTAATCATTGTTTTAATATTTAAAAAAAAAATCTTTGTTTTATTTTTTTTCCCTTATCGGTTCGGTATCGGTTTTACCGAACTCTTATGGGTTCAAACTGATACCGTACCGATAGTGATTCGGTAACCGACTACAAGCGGTTCGGTACGGTTCGGTTTGGTTCGGTTTGTTTTCGGTTTTCGGTTAAAAAATGCCAGCCCTAGTTGCTACCATTCAAATGATGCATATATTTTTAGATAAGTATTATTTTTTTGAACTTTAGTTGATAAGTAAAGCAAGTAGTATGCTATTTTACATAATTTAAGGAATTTGGGAATAGTATCTTATACAGAAAATTGCATGCATCAAGATTTGATATGACTTTAATCGATTTCAAATTAAAAAAAAAAAAATCAAAAGTTCTATAATTTATGGAATTTGAGAATATTATCTTATACACCAAATAACATGCATCAAGATTTGATACGAATTTATGTGAGTTACAATAATAAAATTAATAAAACCAAATTAAAATTTTACATAATTCAAGAAAGTTGGGAATATTATCCTATACACAAAATTGCATGCATCAAAATTTGATACCCATTCAATCGATTATTTTAACACTCAATTTACTTTAAAAATTAAAATATGTTTTACATTTGTTTCGGTCGTCCCTCACATTTCGGAAACAAAGTTGTCGCAAACTAAAATAGTATTTATTTTTACATACATTGATACTAACTATGATCCTAATCTTTTTAAACACAAACGGTCATATATAGGAAACAAAAATCAGTATTATAATTTGTTGCAAACTCAAATTCAAACACATACGCACAAAAATAATCAAATGAATTTAGAAGACTATTTTTTGTAATATTGAATACACAATTGTTTTAATTCCAAAATCGGGATTTAATTTTTTATATACACACACACACACACACACACACACACACACATATATATATATATATATATATGATGTTTCTACTCTCAGATCTGGAGTGAACCGGTGGTAAGGAGCTCAGATCTGTTTGAATTGCCTTCGAACCGTTGCTAGACCACGAGAATACCTGCAAAAACTCAACGCCGGAGGTGTTTCCGGCGTAGAGCCTCCGACTCTCAAGTCAGTATGAGAGTGATGAAGAGAGGCTGCAGCAGCTATGAGGGAGAGTAGAGAATGAATGAGAGTTAGGGTTTGGGCTTACCTCACCTCCTTTATATAGGAGTGAATACTTACTTCTAGTACCCGAAATGCCCCGATCGGTTGACCTGTAAGGTCTAAATTGCCCCGGTCGATTCGTCTCCCCTTGCTGCTGAGTCATCACAAGATTCCTTCCTATCCTTTGGAGAATGTAGAGCTTTGAGTATGTTACTAAGTGTATGAAGTCGTCAGTGTGCCTCACGTCTCGAGGTAGGAGAAATCGACATCGAGCATGGACGAGTCGACTCAGGATTTTCTAGTTATTCGGAGGCTACACTTCTTGTGGGATCTGCAAGTCGACTTTTATGGAATCTGCCGCTTCTCGCCATTAATCATATGAAGAGTCGTCTTTGAGGAAGTAGACTTGAACATGTCGACAGGTTCATGTCGACTTGAACATGTCGACATGTGAACGGTTTGAGCCACTTATCCGGTCGAGTAGAGAGCCTTTGGGCCGGTATATCTTTATATGGCTATATCATCTAGTCCCCCCCAAAAATTACTCTAAGCAGTCGACTGCTTAAGAGTAAATTTGGTGATGTGTGGTTTAGTGTCATGTCTTCCTGCAATACTTGCTTGTACTTGTCACTTTGATAACTCGTCTCGTCAGCTGATTGAGAAACACTTCTGCCTCTTATGATTGTTTTTTCGGATAAGTCCGACGCTCTGACACCCTTTTTGAATTTCAAATTTCGAAAATCTTGAAGTGATGCGCATCACCTCAACCGCCGACTCTTCGAATTTTGCGCTTCATCAGGACCCTTAGATCTTTCGCTAATCTAACGGTCAACACCCAACACTACCACTTATAAATATGCCTCAATCCCTCAGAAAATCACTTTTCGCATTTTCGGACTTCTTGCTCTTTCAGTCTCCTCAAGCTTTCTGGCGCTCTTCGTGTTTCTGTTTTACCGGCGTTCACTGTTTCCGGCGACTTCGAGCTTTTTCAGAGTTCCAATCAACTAAACCATCATGAGTAAGTTCACTACTCTCTCTTACCTTTCAGATTTCTGTTGGTGTTTTTTTTTTTTTTTTTTTTTAGTTCCTGTATGTTCTTCATGTTCTTCGAATTTTCCTTATGGATTTCGTGTTGGATCTTCTACGCGCATGTTTTGCTTGGTTTCGCTGTTTTTACCATGTAAGTCGTCGACTACTGGTATGCAGTCGACATCGCCTTTTGTTGAGTCGAT